TCTCTCTCTCTCTCTCTCTCTCTCTCTCTCTCTCTCTCTCGCTGTCTCTCTGTTTTGTTTTTTAGCCCTCCAATGTGTAAAGGATTCCATTTATTAAAATCTCTCTGTGGATACATCTTGTGTGTTCTCTTTCTTACAGAGCAGAGGATTAGGGTGGGTTTTCATTGGAATTGTTTTCCTTCCTAAGGGCATTTAAAAATACTTCCCAGAGACACTTTTGTTAAACTTACAACTTTGTCTAATTAAAGTTTTCACTAGAAAGAAATATTTGTTTAGATTGTTTCTGGAATATTAGTTCTGTACCAGGAGATTTTTGTTTTTTTGCTACAATGTATATGTTTTATAGTGAACAGTTTTATAAAGGGTAGACAATTCTCCTAGGGATTTTGCAGGGGCATATAATTTGCATTGAAATGGCTTTGACATGAAAGAAGTGCATCTTTCCAACTGATGTTCCTCATGGAGCCAGCTTTGGATAACTTCCTAATTCAAGAATGCAGACCACAGTAAGTCTTATGCGCCTCTAAATTTGACTTTGTTCTGTAAAAGCAAAATACCTTTCAAAATGATTGTCCAGCTACGGACCTCTGTTGTCTTGTAGAAGGACCTGGGAACTACTCTGGCATTAGAAGTTTCAAAGCATTTCCTAAGAGAGTTAATAACTGGAATTCTAACTAATCAGCCACAGAGCTTGGAAAGTTAAAAATATACAAACTCAATCTTTCACAGGGAATGATTTTAAACCTAATCACCTGGTGATAAGAATTTTAATCTATTCAAAGTCAACCACCATCGAACTTTTATCTTAAGCAAACAGAGAGTCTACCAGATGTGGCTGATAGAGTTGAATGATTTTGACTCTGCCTGTGGTCTGTTTAAATTGTGATTCCCTACAGTCTGTGATTATACAGCGGGAAAGATTCATTTTTCTAGTTTAATCAGATGAGACTATAGCTTCTTATGATTAAACTCATTTTATACAAAAAAAATTCCTGACATTTCTCCAATTTGGATTCTTATATAATACTAACATGTACATATTCCTATTTTCTTAGAAAATCTAGGAAATTTAGCAAATTCTGAAGGCACAAAAAGAAAAAACAATCTTGACCTCAAAATAAAGACAGCCAGCAACAGTCAGCCTTGCAATGAAGAAATCCCCACAAATGGCAATAATCAGACATTCAGAATGTTTGGGTGAGGCACAGTCCCAAGGACCGGGCAGGGATTTATGTGGTTAATTCTCAGGACAACACTGTAAAGTAGTTATGAGCTGTGTTTTACAAATGAGAATGTGAAGTCCAAGGAGTCAAATGACCTCCCAAGGTCGTGTGACTAATACCTTACAGGCCTGTGTCTTAACCTTAGAAGGGCAGCTACGGGATGAACAGCCTTGACCACCATCCTGGGGTTTCTCTTGGTTATGCACTCCTCAGTGTGAATGCCTGAGATGTCAAGTTTAGTTAGCCTCTGACCGAAACTCACCCCCCTACTCAGCAAGCCAGAGAAAGAGGAGACACTAGGAACAAAAGAAAGACCACAGTCACTGCCCTTGAAAACACTCCTAGGAATTCCTTATGGGTCTTTATCTGTGGAATGCTTTTATCATGATGTACCTGGTCTGCCGAGGTTACTTACAGTAAATTCATTTATAATTGTGGGACAAGATTTGCCAAAAAGGAATATTGCATCAGTATGTAATTTTCTGATTGGAAATGTCAGTATTCCATGACTGAACTATCTCCTCTTGTGTAAGACGTGTTTAATACAGTGGGGTTTAATACCATGTGCCTACAGGCTTCACCTGCATCTCACAGTCACCTGTATCCTTTGAATCACTGGTAAATTTTGGCCCTGTGTAAGACGTGTGATTTCTGTAAGTCTGATTGGAGAGTCTGGTTCTCACTGTCATATCAAAGAGTTTCCTTTACAGTCAAGCTCTTTTGAAATTCCAAGATGTTAGCTGGTCTTCCACCTCTGCCTATTTATTCCTTATAATACAGAACTATTAATGGCATATATTGATACACAATGAATACATTTTGGTTCAGTAAAAAACTGCCAATCAAGGGGGGACATCGTGGGTTAAATTGAATGCTAAGATGCTCAGGAATCAAAGTGGCAAGTGGAGACGTGTGTGAAAGGGATGCACACAGAGGGTGTCGCTGGCATCGGGAGGGTTAGGACTGGTGAGTCAGTGAAGGAAGAAGGACCAGAGCAGGCGGACGTGGACGACACACGTGGGACTCACAACCAGTGTGGGCCTGGCACGGCCAGGCTTGAAACTGCCGTAAAACATGGAGTGGATCATTTCCTTCTTTCTACGAGTTTTTTATTTTTTAATCGGAAGACACTTTCATGATGGACTTTAAGGAAAAAGTAGGTCAGAGATTTATATTCTCCTCAAGGCTTACCCAGTATAATTGAATCGATGGGCTTGTAATTTTTTTCAGATGCCATTACATCTCCTTGGTGCTGCACTTTGTAAATTGTAAATGGACAGCTCAATCTTCTTGTCAGGTTCTGAAAGCATATATCCACAGACTATTCCAGAAAGTATCTGGGAACTCTATTACAAAGGCGCCAGGCAATCACAGGAAAGTCCTTCTAGAAGGAGGCTCCCTGCCATGGCTTTCCACATAGCTCTCTGGTGTACTGCTGGACCTACGCGGGTGGGAGTTACAGCCTGGGAGCTGCTCTGTCCCTGCAGAGGTAAACAGCACTTGCATCTGATAAGAGGTCGGGCCACACAGCTGTAGGCTTTTCAGGTCTCTAATGTCTGAGAGACAATATGCATTTGTGTGGAAATGGCAAGTTGCTTCACAATGAGGTCAACTCTAAAGAAGACTTGGACACGTGTGATTTTTATCATTGTGCCGCAGGCTGTCATGCCGAAGGAAGACACTATGATTTACAGGTAAGTACACTCAGTCTTACAGAAGTCAGTCCCGTCCTCAGAGCCAATAAACGGGGGCCCAAGACTCCGTAACCTAAGTCTCCTAGTGATAAGCCCATTTTCTAACAAAATAAGACTTCATACATTGAGCCCTAGAGATGGGCCAGTGTGGATGAGCATCGATGAGTTCCAATGTCCACAGGCAGGAAAAGGGCATCCTAGTTCCAGAAGGTGGGACCTTTTTTCCATCTCTCAGACAATTGTGTGGGGCCTCACATTACATCAAAGTGGATCTTCTTTATATAGTGTGTGTGTGTGTGTGTATGTGTGTGTGTGTGTGTGTATCAAGAAGCTAACTTATTTCTATTCAGATGATCAAGGAAAAAACATGAAAGATATCAGATTATTTTGAAATTCACATGGCTGACATTTAATGCATACAAAATTTGAGCCCACTGTATATAAACATTTATGTGTTTTGTGATGGATGATATGATACAAAAATATCAAAATACATTCATGCAAGCCCTCACTTAAAAATTCTGTATTTTTCCATCACAGACTGTAAAGATAGGGTATTACCAGGCACCAAGTGGCAGCACATAAAACCATATAGGTGGGGAAAAGCCCCAGCTTCTTTGTGCAGATTAAACAACCTAGACTATAAAATGATAGTACTGTTATCACACTTCATGCAAAGGGAGTCCTTTGAAAACAAAGCCTCTAGTCAATGCTCAGTGAAATTATGAATATGAAACCCAGTCCCATCTATGAAGATCCACTTAATAAAGATCAGCAGTCTCTCTCTGTGGCAGGTGGTACTTACTCTGTGTCTTTAAGGGCTAGAAGAATTATGTGTAATATGTTTGGATTTTATCCTTGAATCAAATTACTGTCAATGTGTACAATTATTTGTCTTGTAATGATCTGATAAAGACTGTTATATGCCACGTTACCAGCATGTGAATGAAACAGGGTACAAATAATGGTTTTCTTTAGACATGAGTGAATAATGATTTGCAAATTTATAATAAAATATCTTTAGTATAATATTTTTTAATAATAGGCTGGAAAAGAGCTAGATCTGTAAGGTGGTAAATATCAGGGAACTTCCCTGAGCATCCTCACAGAGACTGTATCTGGGACCAGTGCCCACACAGGAACTCGCCCAGCCTCTGCCTTACCTGGAGTCTAACTACCTCCCTTCCCAGCATCAACCTGAGTGATGAACAGCTGACAGGAGCCCTAGGGGAGATGTATGGGCAGTGGTGTTGGCCTTCACGTATGTGGAACACCCTGATGCCAAGTCTTAATCTGTAAGCCTAGAGAATAGAAAAATTATTCAGAATAAAACTCTGTCATTTTCTTAGGAGATGTGTGTCTTTGTTACTTATTTTCTAGCTTTTGCAATGTCCATTCTTGCTGTTTATCCTTGTGGTTCACCTTTTTATTAAAAAAATTCTAATTTGTCATATATGACAGCAGAATGCATTGCAATTCATATTTAAACACGGAGCACAATTTTTCATGTCTCTCGTTGTTTACAAAGTATATTCACGCCATTTGTGTCTTCATACACCTACTTAGGGTAGTGATGGTCCTCCTTTTGTTTGGCCAAAACGCCGTGGGTCACTGCTCCTCAGCCAACTCTCAGTCACCTGGATCAAACATTGCTGCCCTTCCTGGTGTTCCTGCTGGGCGGTCCTCTCCCTGGGTCCTTGGTCCACCTGCCTGTAGAGATAAACACTACTCCAAGGGACCAATGGTTGCTATGAAAGCACTTGCTCACGGGACAGCTCACTCCCTACAGGGCAGGCACAGGAGTGGATGTTTCAGTGATGTCTTATAGGTCCAGGCACACACACACTGCCAGTATACCTTTGGTGAATGAATATATAAGTGAGATAGATAAAATATTTTCAAAGATCACAATTTGTGTTTAATTCATTCTCACATCTAGACACCAGAGAGCATTTTAAATATCTAGAATGACATCAAAGACTATCCACAAGTTGATCAGTTTGGGCTTTATGGTTTCAAGCACTAAAGCACTGAGCATCCCCAGACATTTTTTTTTTTTTTTGAAAAAAGGTCTCACTAAGTTGCTGAGGGCCTCCCTAAGTTGAGGAGGCCAGATTTGAACTTGAGATCCTCCTGCCTCAGCCTCTAGAGTGGCTGGATTACTGGTGTGTACAACTGTGCCTCACAGTGCTTTTCTTCTGTAACCATAAGATTAGACCAACAGACCAATGGCTTTGCCACAGACATTTATCCCTCACTCTCCTTAGCAATTTTAAGAAGGAACTAACTTATCCTCAAGTGATTTTGATATGGAAAGCTGGGGATTTGGTCTCTGTCTGCAGGTACTGGGGCTTTGGGTCTCTATTTAATCTTTCCTTGGGCAACATATTCTCCCAACCTACAGTGTTAGATATGAACGAAAAAGTGGTTTTGTTTTTTCATCCTCACTCTAGAGATCTTCTAGCTCCCTGTCATTCCTGGAGTCTTCTGTGGAATCCTTCTTCATAAGAAAGGTATCAGGAGACTTACGTAAGACTACAGTTACCAACAACAGGAAACTCAGCTTTGCAATTTTGTTCTTAAAGAAGAATCTCCATTCTGTCCCACCCACATTCTTTCAAAACATCTTAGAAAAAAGTGTCTGTTCCTACTGCCTCCCAACCTGAAATAATTTGACAGATTGCTCCTGAAATGAATCTAAACTTAATGCAAAAAATAAAACTTTCAAATTAAAAAAAAACACATATAAATAAAGCTGTACACATAAGTTTTACTTAGCTTTATGGTAATTTGACATATTGTTGTATTGCTTTTAGGCTCTTGGTAAAAAATCAAAAGTGTTCGTTCATTTCATGATAAAAAGTACTGTATGTTTACTGTAAGTATGTAAAGTGGTATGTGATTATATATGTGAATATGGTACATGAACAATATATTTTTGCAATACAATAACTTGACTTTGTTCCTGAAAAAGTCTCTCATTTTTATATTTCAAAAAATATTTACACTGAGTCCACGTAATCCTTCAATCATGGTTTCATACATTAAATAAATATTTATGAAGTGCTGATGCTGCCCGACATCTACTTTGGGATCAAGGAATGCAAATAGTAACATTCATGGTCTCGTGAGAAAGATACAAAATAGATCACTGCAGTAGATTCAAGCTAGAGAGAGAGAAAAAATGTATTTATTCGTTTATTTCATACTGTAAGTATTAACTAAATATGGTGAAGGAAGCTATTTACGTGCCCAGTATTGGCCTGGTATTTTATACACGATGACTCTTTTTCACCCCACAAACGCCACTGACTTCTCCACTTAGACCTGAAAAACAGGAGCTCATGAGGGAGGCTCCTGCACAGGATCACAGAGCAGCCAAGGGCAGGCAGGTTTCAGGGCGATTTCCCGACTCCTAAGCCCACGCACTCTTAGGCTGGGAATCCAAGGGAAAAGCCAGGGACTTCAGATGAGAAGCCAGCTAAGGGCCTCGAGGGGGAGGGTGGGTGCTGGTGCTTGCTGGAGGGATCCCTGTGTCCCAGGTGCTCTGCCTGGGAGCGGGACCAGAGGGTAAGCCGTCTCAGTGGTCTTGTTGAGTGGATCCTCTGGTAATGTAGTGAGGTGACTTGTCATTCACTCTTCCATCTGTGACATTCAGACATTGAAAAGGAATTACAAATAGATGGTACAGTGGTCTTTATAGTTCAGGAAAATTAAGCTAGACATACCTATTCTTCATTCAGAGATGACCATGGAATCTAAACATAGATTCCACCTTATTTAGACCAGTAACTGGAGGAGGCCATGGATAGGACTCCCCAGAGGAACCTACTAGAGACCAGGTCACGACTTTTAGTGGCCTCTCGCCTGGGGCACTTAGCTTAGATGGGGATGTCCCAGATGCAGGCCTATGCAGGGAGGGAGAATCCAGTTTAAGCAATTTGGGATGGGGAAGGGAAAGGTGTGCAGCAGGCTTTAGGGTGAGACCCAAATTTAATAATAATAGGATTTTTTCTGCTCCAGAGCCAAAATAATAAGCCCAAGTAAAAATTGCACACACAGGAATCAATCTACCTACCTATCTATGTAATTTTCCTCTGACTCCAACGTTATAAAAATATAGAAACTTTTCAACTATGAAAGTCAAGTTCAAGTTGAGATTGAAGTGAAACATACTGTGCTAATTGGGTATGTTTAAATATACCATAGTGATTCATAGGCAGCTTATCAGCAGTTCATGAACTAAACTTAAAAAAAAAAAGCCTTTTGACTTAAGAAAAATAAGTTGAAATGTCCTTGCCTAAAGAAATGAGAAGATCAATATAATATAACCAAAATTATTTTAAATTGTTTAAAACAAATTAATAAACAGAAAACATTGGAAATGAGGAGGAAATTCATACATGGTGAAGTGATGCACTGCCTGTGAATCAGAACCAGGTATGCACTGAGTTTGTAATTAGGCCCCAACTGTGAGTCTGATGTCTCCATAGGAATGAAATGTGTTGTCCTGAATCCATAAAATGTAGGAAGCTGTTCCATGTAAGGCTGGGACTCTGATGGACCACCAAACACAATTATTAGGGTTTTAGGACATTGAGTTAGGAGTACTCCACCTACCAGCACAAAAAAAGAAAATATTTATGATATTATTTTCTTATAGACATATTTAATAACATACATAAGAAAATCATATATAAATATGTATTAATAATCTGAAAAAAAAATATGTGTGTGTATATATTTGTATTTACATCTGGAGAAATCTAAGTTTCAGATACTGTACATAGATATGTGATAAACATTCATGATGACTAAATATAGTGTGGAATCCTAAGAGATATTAATGGAAAAAAAATCATCCCAAATGAGTAAAATCCTGAGTCCACAAGGAAGAAGCAAGGGCAACTCCTCTCTGAGGAACTGAAGCCCAGGTAAGATGTGGTACAAGTCGAAGGGAAACTCCTGGAAAGGGAGGGCTTGCAATTATGAGTTAAACTCAATTAAATAACCATCCTATAAAAACTGGAGAAGAGAAAATAAACAAGAGAATAAAGGTCAGAGTATGAGGACAGTTGCCAGGAAATTAGAAAGTAAAGTTCTCATGAATAACTAATACAAAGGGTAAGGGGGCAAAGGTCTTTAAAAAATTACTTAAATTTTCAAAAGTGTGCTTGTGAGTTGTTAGATAGTCTCTGAAGAAGGAACTTATAGGCTGAAAGAAAGACCTGAAGAAATCACCAGAATTCAGCTTAGAAAAGACAGGAGAAAATGTAAAGTAGTAGAAAAAAAAAAAAAAGACAGAAAGGGTTTTCATCAGCATTTTTGCTTCTGTGACCAAAAGACTCAACAAGAACAATTTGAGAAGAGGAAATGTTTATTTTGAGGCTCACGGTTTCAAAGGTCTCCGTCCATTGAAGGCTAGCTCCGTTCCTTGGGGCTTAAAGTGAAGAAGAACATTATGGGGGGAAAGTATAGTGGAGGAAAGTGGCTCAGGACATGTTCAGGAAACAGACAGAGGGAGACTCCACTCACCAGATATGAAATGTATATCCCTAAGTGAAGCCAACAGCCCACCTCCTCCAGCCACCACCCATCTGCCTACAGTCACCACTCAGTAATCAAGGAATTAATTCACTGATTTTATTAAGGCTGTTGTAACCCAATTATCTCACTTGTAAGCCTTCTTGCATTGTCTCTCACACAAGTCTTGGGAGGACACTCCACATCTAAACCATAATAGAAGGATCCATGAAACTGCCCAAAACACACATATCAAGAGGCACAGATAGATAAAAATCAAGCATGGGGAGTCACAATTAATAGAGGGTCAAATTGCAAAGAAATTTCTAAAAAGTCTCAGAATGAGAACAGGATAGCTAATAGACATACATCCATAAACTTTGGGTATGATTTCAGGTAATCAACAATATAGGGAAATCTTGAAAGGAGTCAGAGCGAAAATAAATAATCTTGAAAAGTTAAGAAAGTCAACTGACCATAAGCAAAATTTTTGCACCAAATAGCTGGGATTTGTGTGTCCTCATCAGTCAACTGGAAGCTGGATTTTCAACCAATTCCTATTAAATGGGATGCAGCCAAAGCACGTCCTTCCCCTGTGGTGAGTACTAAAGAGATTAACTGGAAGGAGTGCTCGGCATCCTGCATTGCATCCATAGAGCCACACAGATCTATTTTCCAGAGCATGGAAAAGGATTGACAGAGCAAGCTTGGTCGATTCAAATCCTGTACTTTCCAAAGGAAAAACGAGCCTTGACTGATAGTGAATCCTTTGATGGTGAAGACCATCAAAGATTGAGTGCCCAAGCTGTGGAGGGAAACTTTCTACTACTCACATCAACAATCTTCCAAGAAAAAGGGGGTTAAGACTTTTCCAGAAAAGGGATGAGAAATCATGCCACTTGGGGTTGAAAGAACTACCAAGCTGCACTATCCTCAATAAGAGGAAAACTATAATCCCGAGAAAGCATTGGAATCCACAAAGAAAACTGGAGCAGAGGAAATGGTAAGTGCTGTGTGGGTAGTCTGTGTGGTGGTGCACCTGGGGGACTAGCCTCAGAAACAGCTGTGACACGCTAGGGCTGCCTGGAGTAGAAGGATGCAGATTGGCATCAGCAGTGGGAAAGGCACAGAGAAGTCCAGAGGAAACTAGGCACTGGTTTCCAGCTGCCTTCTCCAGCAGAGTCATAAGCATGGTGCTTAATTTTTCCAGCACAATATGTGGTAATGTGTTCAAAGTGCACCAGTCAAGGAAGTTCCCCCAAGCCTTAGTGTCCAGGGATTTATTGGGTATCATTCCTGAAGGCATGCAGTGGGTCTCCAAGGTCAAGCTTATACAAGGTAACCCAAGAACTCTGTGCAAACCAAGACAGATATTCTCCCACAGTCATATGGTTAACATAAACCAAGTGGTCAAATGGTTACAATGTGACTCAAAGCCTGCAACATTCAAAACACTCGTACAAAAGAGTATCTAAGAGCTCAGACATTATTTTCCAAGTATCAGTCAAGACTAGTTTTTCCTTTGGAAAGTACAGGATTTGAATCACCCAAGCTTGCTGTGTCAACCCTTTTCCGTGCTCCTGAATAAATCTAAACAAACATTATGGATAAAACAAACAGATGAACAAGAAATTTGGTGCTTTGTAGGCATGAAGGGCACAGAATTCAAAACTCATAAAATGATAAATGAAACTTACACATGGCCACACTGACTAGGGAAGGCGCAGGGCCTCTCCACCTGGAGGCTTCTTGAAGTCTCCTTTATCTGACCTACTTTCAGGTTCCAGGCTGATCTTTGAACACAACCACTCATATCCCACATGATTTATTATATTTAATTTAATTGCAATCAATAACTTACTTAATTCTTCACCATCTTCAACATTTTCTTTCAAACTACGTGTATTGTTTACCAAGAAATGACTGTGAACATTTAACTTTTGTGTATGTCTCCTCCTTTTAGCTCTGTAAGATTCTCCTTATGTTTCTGAGGACTAGGCATTTAGTAAGATAAATTTGGAATTGTTGTATTTTTCTGGTGGATTGACCTTTTCATCATTAGGCAATATCACTGTTAACTTCCACTAATGTTTCTTGACTTGAAGTCTCCTTTATCTATTATCATAGATAGTATACTTTTTCTTATCTTTTATATTGAGTTCACAGATTTTAAGTGTTTACTTTCATGAGTTTGATAAAAGTAACCTCTGTACTACCAGTACTACGTTTAAGATTCATAACATTTCTGTCACCTCAGAAATCTAGCCTTCTTAGGTAAGCATTGTCAACCACAGATTAAGAACTTTCCTCCGTTGAAGTTTCTTGGAATGTAATCATACTGTATGCACATTTTAAAAATATGTCTTCTTTTGCTCAACATGTTGTTTTCAAAATGTGTCTGTGCTGTTCCTTGTACATGAGCTCCTTTGTGTTG